AATTTTATAAAATCTTATAAAAACAAATCTTATAAAAAAAAGATTTTGGTTCTATTTAAGAAAATTTGAAAAAAACATGAGGGTGGCAAAGGAACCATAGTTATTTACGATAAATCACTTATTTTTGTAAAATAACTTACTAAAAATTGAAATATAAGACAAAAGTATGAAAAAAACAGTTTTTCATTAATTTCTTTCAAAACCTTTTATTATATTTATTCTGGGGGTTTATTTAAGAGAATGTAAAAATAAACCTGATGGAAGCAAAGAAACTTTTTTTTACAATAAAACCCTATTTTTTTCAATATTCCCACATTTCTTTTTTAACTGGTTTTCCAAATTATCTCTGAGTCTCTCTTCAAAATGATGAACGATTCTTATGAAAATGGAACTTATCCTTATGTCTTTAAAATTACTAAAGTTATTCCACTTCATTAAAAAGGCCCTCTAATGGACAATACCAATTATCGTCTAATATTGCTTCTGTCAAACTTAAGTAAAATGTTACAAAAAGCCATGCATAGGAGAATAATTAACTTTCTACATCATTATCTTTATAAACACCTATATGGGTTATATCAATGTCTTTATAAACACCTATATGGGCTTCGCGAGCATTTCGCAACTCATGCTCTTATTAAAATTACTAAGGTGATATTAATAAAGATCTCAACAATAAAATTTTTGGTTGTGGTGTACTATTTGACCAACAGAAAGCAGAGCTGTTTTTAAGTCGCTTTGGAGCAACTTTCAAGTCAAGTCTCAAGTCACTGAGGTCAAGTCTCAAGTCAAGTCTCAAGTCATATAGTGACATGTCAAGTCAAGTCTCAAGTCAAGTCATATTACAATAAAAGATTCCCGTGCATGTGGTGGCTATCAGTAACGCGGCTAGGAGTTCGGAGGCCCCTTCCAAAACCCGTCATAAAAACCACAAAATTCATCTTACAAGAGGGTCATGGGGGAACCTTGCGATGGCTCTGGTAGCTGCATTCAAACAGTCACCTTACAGTTATAAAATACAGCATGATAATAGTTATAATTTTACTTTATTTACTAAAGTAGCTTTAAAAGTAAAATAAACCATCTGTAATAAAATAGCTAAGGAATCATAATACACAATACAGTGACATAATACTTCATAAGCTATTTAGCCAATTTATTAATGTTTTTATTCTATCATTCTTTTGAAAAAAAGATTACAAATGCTGATTTTCATAAAAAGTTATAGTAATATATCCGTGTTACATTTTTAAAACACTAACTGACAAACAGTGTCAGAATTTAAACTTGCACGCTTGGGTTCATAATCAGGCCACCCTGACTGAATACCCTTTCAACAGGAGCACTGCTTGCAGGTACCACAAAAGTATACATGACAGCACTTTGATAACTTTTGCCCATGCATTTTCCAAAATTGTAGACAATATATGTCTAGGGTATTGAAATTAAATGCAAACACTTCATTTACCAGTTTCTCATAGCAACAAAACTGAGTATCAAAACTTTTAACAGGTGGTTGTGATGTAGTTTCATTCTGAATGACAGATGTAAATCTACAATAAGAGTACAAAAATGATTTAGTTTTTGGCTTCTTAGAGGGTAGGTTTTCTGGTAAGACTTTTCCGTCCATGGCTACATTGGTATGGCTAAACTGCTTGTTGCAGAATTGACAAATTTTTAAAATAATATTTGTCTTTAAGTTGTCTGTTTGACCTGGATTGACATGACATAGCTTCTTAGTCCAAAAGAAAGAAAAATTAGGATCCAAAACTGTGGCAATAATTATATATCAAGTCATTAAATGTTAATTTCTTATCTATTGATGGGATAAGGTCAACATTTGCAAATATATCAGAAAATCTTTTTTGAAGACTGTTTTGCAATACCTGTTTCATACCGGACAGATAAACTGTATTAAATTGTTCTAAGTGACTATATAGCCGAACGATAGAGGGAACTACTAATGAAATTGTTATATTTTTTTCACCTTGAGTCATATCGGTGGCTTCAAGAAATAATTGCAATAAATCAATGAGCTCTCTAAGTTGCACGTATTCTCTTTCATTAGGTATCAGGTTAGGTATCAAAAATTTACTCCGCTCAAGCTAAAGCATCCAAAATATGCAAAGTGCATATTTTGGATGCTTTAGCTTGAGCGGAGTAAACTTTTGCCTCTTTAAGACCATCGCCTGGACCAGAAAAAAGACAGAAGAGGACTTAGAAAATGAAGACCAGGTCTTCATTTTCTAAGTCCTCTGCAAGTTTCTCTGCAGATGTATCACCGCCACCTTCGGTGTTACACCAAGGTAACCCCTCATTTTTTTTATCTGACCAAATATCAAGTGTTAGGGAAATGCTTGCATCTTGACATAAATTTTCAGTTAATTTTTCCTTTGCATCCGCATACGTTTTCTCTAAATAGGTTTTTACGGCAAAACGGCTTATAGTTGAGCACTGAGGATCAAGAACGTTATTGTATCGCCTAAAATGTTCACTTTCTATTATAGACACGGGTAGTGATGCACCAACTACTAGATGTTTCACAACGGCTGCCAAAATTCTTCGTTGCTTGGGGTGGGTGCGGCCGTATGTTGTCATAGAACTCTCTCCCAAAGCAACTACAAATAATAAATGCTATATCATTCTCATTCTATAAAGTAATATTCCTTAACGCCATGCTTTATACGCTAAGTTTAAAGCTTTATTTAAAAGCTTCGGGTTAGGTGGTAAGATGTAGTGTGACACTGCAACGTTTTGTCGTACAAGCTAATAAGAACTATAAGAACTGTTATGGAATGTCAGACCTTTAGTAGAATACTTGTCTACTAGAGGTAGACATAGAACGGACTCTAGGGTTTAATAAATTTTAAATATCTAACAAAATAAAAACAAATTAGTATAAGTAAATAACCTGCTCGAAAGTCTGAAATCTTAAATTGTTCTAGTGAAGCAGCCGTTGGTCTTGTCTAAATAAACTTTTGATATAATTCATATTTTCCTGAATGTGTTTTTAAATGGCGAATGAAGTTGCTTGTAGTCGCAACTCCATCGGTAATTAAAGCTTGACAAAATATACATCGTGCCGATCTAGTTTTTTCTTTTTTTTTCTCAAACTCCGTATAACCAAAATTAATCATTCCAGGTACTGCAGGCGTTTTTTGAATTTTTATAGCACTCATAATTTTAAGATAACTTATGAAACTTTACAAATCACCGAAATTAGTAGCAAAAACAATTTTAAATACTTAAAATTAGAACAGCAGTGGAAAGCCTTCCGGAATGGCGGACGCTTTTTTATAATGAATTTTATAAATAAATTACATGAAAAAATAATAATAATAAAAGATAATTTTGAAAGTAAAAATAAATAAGAGAAAAATGAAGATTGGTAAGGAAAGAAAAAGAAAGAATTAAAAAAAATTTATATAAGAAATTAAAATCACCCAACACTTATAAAAAATAAATTTCATGAGTTAAAGAAAAAATGAATCAATTAGAACGCACACAAAAAAGTTGGAATTTTTTGAAAACGAAAGAGCCTAAATGCGATATTTTTCTTCGGATCTCGCTTAGACTACAAACCAATTAAACGTAAGTTAAAATAAAGACATTCGAAAATAAAAAATAGTTTAAAAACAGTTGAATTAAAATAGAAGATAAATTGCTCCATTTTTGAAGAGACGGAAAATAATAATTTTAAAGTCGCTAAGCCGAAATTAGCAAGTCTCGAGTCAAGTCGCTAGTCTCAGGCTAAAACCCAAGTCGAGTCTCGAGTCGAGTCACTGGTGTGACTTAAGTCGGACTCGAGTTCGAGTCGGTTGACTCGAGTCTCCAGCTCTATCAGAAAGTATTTGACACTGTTGATCATTCTATCTTCCTAAGTAAACTGGAACAAAATGGTATTAGTAGAGCTGTCCTCCAATGGTTTACTTAATTCCTTAATGACCGACTTCAATTTGTCTCAAATTAATAGTAACACATCTTTTTTAGAAAATTGCACTACAGGTGCACATCAAGACTCAGTATTTGGGTCAATTCTTTTCCTTGTTTTCCTTAATGATCATAATTTATCGGTGAAATGTACAATTTCTTACCATTTTAATGATGACACCAATTTGCTTGTAATCAACAAATCGTTAAAAGTATAAACAAATATAAAAACAACGATCATTCAAATTAGGTTCAAAGATTTTGGTATAACTAAATGTAACT